CGATCTGCCAATGGATAATGGACGCCTGGACTAAAGGATCAGTCTCAAGTGTTGTACATTTGTTTCACTTAATGTGTCTTATAATTCAGTGCACCTTATGTATGAAAATAGATGAGAGAATTCAACATTATTGATATTATACCTTATTGTTCAAAAAAACACAGTATTATAGTTAAGTTTGTCAGTTTTTTTGTTCATATATTTGAGCAACATTTGTCTTGCTCCAGTACAGATAATAGCCTGTGTCAAAAAACTGGAATATAATGAAAAAGTGTAATTTCCTTTTTGATTTTATGACTTTAAAGAGTAAACATTATGACGCAGATGAGAGAATAAAGTAACACGGCCCATTAAAGGTGCATTGTGTAACAATTTGAGGGTCCATCAAATACTTTTCTCCATGGAGATGTTAATTACTCTGTCAGAAATGTCTCACACTATGGCATTAAACCTTTCTATCTTCATGGAGAAGTCAGTCAGAATGTCTGTTCTTCTCGGTATTTTTGAGCTATGAAACCACCTGTAACTTCTTTTGAGATATGTAATGTTAAAACTTTTCTTTTTCAAATAAATGTTTAATAATAGTTTTGCTTAAACATTGAATCCAGAACAAGCAGAATATAAAATAATAACAACATTTTAAATAAATAATGTCTTTATAGTAATCTGTAGCTGGCGTGCAGCTCTAATACATACAGAAGATGATATTTTAGTCAGGAACTTGTAGCACAAAATTACACAGCTCTGACTTGAACACACCACAGCACCAGTGTTGAGAAGGTTACTTTTAAAATGTATTCCCCTACAGATCACAGATTACATACCCAAAAATGTAGTTTGTAACGGAATCCATTAAATTACTTAAAGTGAGTAACGTAATCTGAATACTTTGGATTTCTTGATATTGCCATGATTTTTAAAACTACACATCCTGAAAATTCATGTTTGTTTTCTTCAAATTGTCTGTTGAGCCCAAGTCTCCATGAAGAGACTTTTGTTTCCTGTAGAGAAGCAAAGATGAGGAAATCTTAACATGAGATGTTTTATGTGCTAAAAGACAATAAAAAGTCCAGTCTTTCCTTAAGCATATTACAGATATTATTGATAGAGAAATGACAATCCAACACCTACTGTTAGGTGTTATATAGTTTAGACCTGGTTAGTATTGCTTTTAGTCCTGGTTTAGACCTGGTTTAAACCTGGTTTAAACCTGGTTCAGTCCTGGTTTCAACCTGGTTTCAACCTGGTTTAGACCTGGTTTAGACCTGATTCAGTCCTGGTTTAGACCTGGTTCTGTGAGGGTTTCTTTCTGCCCCTCCTACCCCTCCTTTCCCTGCTCCCTCTTCCCTTCTCTCACCTTATTTGGTTTTTCCTGGGCGGGTCCCCAAATCATCTCACCTGCTGAGCTCCACTCCTGATCCTCGTCAAGTAATCATCTCCTGCAATAAAAGACCTGCTGACCTGCTCTCCAGTCCCAGATTGTTCCGTCAACCAAGTGGTGAACAACTCAGGCTTTTTGTGTTTTTGAGCGGTTTTGAAGATTTTGACTCTTACCTGTTCTCTTTTATCTGTTCCCCAGTTCTTCTGTTTTGGAGCCAGCCTCATCCCGTTACCACCAGTTTCTGTAAGCCTCCGGTCAGCCTCCATCTCCACAGACCTCCCATCTGCAGCCAACCCGGACCCGTCCTGCCTCCCCTGGAATCTATCCCCCCGCCAAGACTGTTTTTTGTAAATAAAATACTTTTTTTTTCCCTCTGCATATTTGGGTCCGACCAGTGATTCTTTAACAGGTTCAGTCCTGATTTAGTCCTGGTTTAGCCCAAAATGTGAAAACAGGAAAATACCGCCATGTAATTCATTTATTTCAACTAGAGTAACTGTAATCCAATTACCACTCATTGAAACAGTAACTGTAACTGAATACAGTTACTCATAATTTGTACTCTGATTACGTAATGCCGGTACATGTGTGGCGAGCGGGGTATGTGGGAGGGGTGTGTAAGAGAACCCCAAAATAATATAATTAACATAAAACCAACAACGCCACTGGGCCTAGCCCACAAACTAAAACTAAATTTACTAAACTAAAAAGGCTCACAGGTTCGTTAATTGACAGAGACAAGTGACTTACAAAACATGAAGTAATTTATTATTGCCATAATTCATTTGTTTCCTTTTGTTAGATTATCTTTAAGAGTAGACTATTCACTGTTCACATAACTGCCGATTAAAACAGTCACAAAAGCAGCTGTACGGTGATTTTGTCCTTAAAATATAAAACACAGTAAAACAAAGCAGCAGCTCGTTCACAGGGCCACCGCTCCACCAGATGACGTGCCGAAGACCACCCTGGACCCACAAAACACACGCTTCTACATCCACGAGGCTTGACGCCGAGCGGCCGGGGCATCTGACAGCAACACCGACCCAACCGTGGACAGCGGCGAACAGTGGCGCTTGTGGCAATCAACAGCAAATACAAACAGGAGCTTTACTCACGAGCCATAACTTCAATCATTCACATCGGGACTCTAGGAGCGGTGGCACTACAATAATGCCACACATTAAATTATATAATTGCAATTGTAATTAGAGAACAGCGGTTGTTTACCTGTGTGCGACAAGGCGGAGCCCTATCCCGGAAGTACGCCGAGGTCAGAGAACGAGACGCTATGGGGAGTGCCCTTTTATAAGCCCAGGCGCCACCTGGTGGCAGCAGGCGGGCACTGCTACACATGTAATCCGTTACTCCCCAACACTGCACATCACAGACTATCCACCGCCGTCCACCGCCACAGACAAGACTGGATTTTTTCTACTACCTAGAAGTGAGGGAGACAAGAATCAACCACAAAAGAGGAAGAATGGAAGTGCGTGAGGTCAGAGTGGAACCTTCTACTGACTGAAGCTGACATAAATGACAATGCAAATGGAGCTCCTAAGTGGCAGAACCAGAGAATAAGAATAAGAAAGAGCCCACAAGATGACAAGATGTTACAAATAAACCCAGTTAGGTCAGGAAATCAAGTCTCCAAAACATCACAGAAAGCAATGGTAATATTTGCAGACGCGCTCGATAAATTCTTACACAACAGAGACGAATCCTGTTTACTCGGCCTATATTTAGTTTTATAAAGAGCAGAGTACAAATCCACTGACTTCAGTCATTTCATATCCTTATTGCTGATCTGCTCCTGCTGTATAACAGGTGAGGACTCAAGTTTAACTCTACTAGTGTTATTGTTATTGTTATTATATGTGCTGAGGTCTAATACAGTATGTTGATGCACATTTTTATCCTGATTTTGACTTTTAATATAACTTTAAAATCAAATAACTGCCAATGGGAAAAATACTTTCAAAATGTATTAGTTACAGAAATATTTGCAATAATATTTATTTTGTAACATTCAAATTCATATTAAGTCTACAAAGCAACATAGGATTAAAACTGGTTTATTCTTTGCTGCGTTCGTCTGCGTATCTGTGGTGGGGTGTGTTTTTTTATTACCGTATTTTTCGAACTACGGTGGTCCCTCGTTTATCGGGTTATGTTCTAAAAATAACCCACGATAGGCGAAATCCACGAAATAGTCAACTTTATATTTTACAATTATTATCTATTTTAAGGCTGTAAAACCCCTCAGCACACACTTTATACACTTTTCTCAGACAGGACAGTTACAACCATTTTTGCATCCTTCTTAAAACTTATTGCTGCTGTCATCCTTATGTTAGTTTCCTCCTTCTTTATGTAACAAACTGAAGATTAATTTATTCTGTAATTGAGCCCTACAGCGCAGAGTCCTGCACTACACAGTACAGCACCGCACTCGCCTCAGAGGTGACAGTAGGAGAAAGGACCAGCTCAGGTCAGCACCTCACGGAGGTAAACGCGGCCATCGCCCGATCGCGCTTTACGGACACCCTGCTTCGGTGTTCTCTCTCTTAAGTCCAAGATTAGTCCTGGTTTACTTCTGGTGTAGTTCTGGTGTAGACCTGGTTTAGTTCTGGTTTAGTCCTGACTCGCCCATGTGTAATCCCGCCCGCATACTCGCCCGTAAAATTCCCGAACCTTAAAACCCGCCGTTTTCATCAACTATTTACGGGTACCTGACCCGGTGCAGGACTAACTTCTACCTTCCTTCAGCGTGTCCAGAAGTCCAACTTTTTGTGCAATGGTTATCATCTTCCTCTGTCTTTTGGGTCTGACCGCAGGAGCCTTTGTCAGTGCAGAACATTTCGTTGACATTGTGGGTTTTGTCGGGAAAAAACTTGCAAACATACAGCACTTCAGAATCACACTGATACAGATCTAACATTTATGTAAATTTGGTGAGCTGAACACATTCTGTACTGTACAGGAGACACGACACAGAGGAGATTGATCGACAGTGGTCTGCAGTCTCTTAGCCAATCAGGACGCAGGGGGAGGAACACAATGTGCGTTTATACATTGTAAAAAAAAGTTGCACACAAAAAAATTTGCGAAACAGTGAGACCGTGATAAGTGAACCGTGATATAGTGAGGGACGACTGTATAAGGCGCACCGGATTATAAGGTGCATTAAGCGAAACAAACAAACGACACTTGAGACTGATCCTTAGCCCAGGCATCCACGATCCATTGGCAGATAGTGGCGTTACTCATCCGGTGTTCTGTCGATTTGTGCTACCCATCGATTTGAGTGTCCGAGGCAGAAGTGGAGTAACAAGTCACATTTTAAAAGTGCATTGGTTTTATTGTATGTTTGGACCAGTTGAGTTAGATTTGCAGCAGAATACTTACATTAGATGATTGAATAGTTTGGATTCATTATTTGATTTTATCGTTCTCATGTTCATTACATTGTATTTTTTTGTTTCCATGTGTAGAAAACATTGTCACTTTGTTAGGAAAGATGCTGTATAAATAATATATCACTATATTATAATAGAAAATTCACACTATGGCCTATATTTATTTAATATAAAGATTTCAGTGTGGTTCTAGTCATTTCTTTTGCTTCTAGAGCAGGAGCCTTATTTGATAGAATATATAGGCCTGTCGATATATGCTCCCTTTAATCAGAACCCTACTGGAGCAGAATACGACTGTCCAAATGTACTACCTACACATGTTCGTATAAATGAGTTGAAATTGTACATAACTAAGGTATAAAGTGTGATCACCGTGTACAAAAAGCATCAAACCCGTGTCTCTAATCCAAAGAAATATGTTGTAAAACTGGGGAGGTCAGGCTTTATTGGATCTATTCAACTGTACATGGAAAAACGTAAAGGATCTTATTTTGACAAGATAATGTGAACTGGTTGATGTTACATTTGATTTAGGCTGCGGGTAGCTCATTTCGACAGGGCAGCACATTTTGACAGAACACCAGCGTTGCCTCGGCGTCTTGGTGAATGTGTATTATGAATGTGGGTGGATCATTTAATTCTTTTTTTTTAATCCATCAAGCAGGTGTGGCTTCGTAGTTTACCAAAGTCGTACTAAAACATTCTGACAGATTTTTGAGCGCCGTGTACCACATAAAATAGGTTCGAGGTCAGTAAGCACAACCAGAATTAATACATAAGGAGCACAAGATTACAAATCGCACTGTTGATTTTTGAGGAAATTGAAGGATTTTAAGTGGGCCTTATAGTCTGAAAAATATGGTATCTTATTATTATCGTTTCATTTTTACTGTGCAGTTTGAAGCCTAAATTGCAAAAAAGTACAGCAATGTATTACTTTAATATTTAAAAAGTAACTATATTCTGAAATAGAAATACAGGAAAACACTTAAGTTCTGAATACATAATTTTGATTTTGATTATTTAGTAACTTCTCAACACTGAGAACTGGTAAAGCTGGTAATTATTCATTTAAGATTCTGATGTGTCTTGGACCTCAGTTTGTTATAGTTAAACCTTGTTTAGCCTGAGGTTTCAGTCCATATAATCTGTGTACAATCATGTTGTTACTTATTTGTATTTTTCTTTTATTGCACTAGAGTTGAGATCGTCCATGGCAGTATCATGGCTTCAGCGTGCCTGCCTCTTGATGGCTCTACTGGTTCTGGTTGGAGGTGAACCACAGACCTTGTGTGGGGCTGAACTGGTGGACGCTATTCAGTTTCACTGTGACAGTGGAGGGATGTATTACAGTAAACGCACAAGTAGGTCAATGGAAAACTCGACTTCAAATAAAACATCTAATATAAAAGTTAAGTGGACAAAAAATACTCCATATGATTTATTTGTCTTATTGTTGTTATAGTTTAAACTTTTTAGACCTGGTCATAAAAAAAATGTAAAAATCAACTAATTCCAAGACGTAGTGTTGAAGGAAAATGAACCTTCTCTGAACATTTTGAATGTCTTTGACATTCGGTCTCCTGTCCATACAGATCAAATAACTCTAATCCTTTATTTTATCATGAATTTCAGCATTGAAACTGAAAGGCCAAACGAGACAATCATAGTGAATCATTTTGCCCACTGATTGGATAATCAGTTTCTGATTGGATTATCAAAACCAACAGACCAAATTATAAATAAATGGGACATCGTGTCCTATGTTTTTGCAATTCAGATTAAATTGTTGTGTTGACCTGGTTCCTCCTGGACACTGCTGTGATGCTGCAGGACACAGAGCAGAGACACTTGTCTTCCTCACCTCAAACTGCCCTGACCTCCTGACCCGACCTGACTAGTCCTGTTAAACTGCACTGAGACCTGTCATATGGTTTCAAGAAAATTCATACATGTTTTTGTTTGTTTTTTAATGATCATATACTTGTCATGGATTTAGCTGTCCATACTGGTTTTACAGAAGATCATGTGTTTATTATTCCCTTATGTTTTGTTTTCCAGGATCTCGGACACACAATGAGAGGACACTCAGAAAGAACCTAATACAGGCCTGCTGCAACATAGAATGTACCCTGGAAATGCTGGACCTGATCTGCTACCCAGAGAAGGCGCAGCAGCTGCAGCCTAAGCAGCCAAAGCAGCCAGTGCAGCCAGAAGAGCAAGAGCAGTCGCAGCCAGTGCAGCCAGAGCAGCTGCAGCAGTCGCAGTTAGAGCAGCCAGTGCAGCCAGTGCAGCTAGAGCAGCCAGTGCAGCCAGTGCAGCAGAGCAGCCAGTGCAGCCAGTGCAGCAGAGCAGTGCAGCCAGTGCAGCCAGCAGCTGCAGCAGTCACAGCCAGAGAGCCAGGGAACTCCATGCTAGAACGGTCTTAGCATGAAGTGATAAAAAGATATAGGAGCATTGATTTTCTCTTTTACGCTCATAGTTCACTTTTAATCCTAAAGTTATACTAGGTAACTTTTCTAGTGAGTGGGCTGCTGGCTCCCGTTTGTCTTAATGAAGATGTTAAAATTCAAAGTAAAACACTCAACCAGTTAAGTGAATCTTGCATTCTTGGAAAGGTGTCTTGCCCATGGACACAACAAGAGCACATGTTAAATGCAAGTTTAATGTCATATGGAACACATCTGGAAAACTGACATTGTTCACCTTTAAATAAAACTGGACTATTGTTTAAAAGTGATATGATTCATTCTTGTTATGTTATAACGTTTCCTCATCAATAGCATACACAAGTTGTGTTTTGTCATTCTCACATGTTTAGTTCATGAATCCTGCATATTTAGGCTGAGTTCTTCCACCTTGTGATGTCATGTGGTAATACAGGAAGTGCTCTAATGTGATTTTAAACTCAGTACACCTTCACTAGAATCATCTGGAAATGCCAGTATTTACTGAACTAAAAGTAAAACATTACTGTTAACCTGAAAACTACAACTTCATGACATCACAAGGTGGTACAGAGCATGTTGAGCTTTGGAGATGTAGACAGACTAATAAACAGTTACTCAAAAATGTGAGATTGAAACAAAGCACATCTCCAGGTCTATTTTTGAGGACGTAACATCATTATAACACAGCTAAAAGCTCACAAGGGTCATTTTTTGTGTAATATTGCACCTTTTCTGAATAAAACATGCATTAGATTGCTGGTAGTGCCATAAGCTCCAGTCCAAAAGATACAAGAAACACTGTTAAACAAATAATTACAACAGAGTGAAAAGATTACCACCTCCCATATATTTCTAAAATTACCGTATTTTTTGGACTATAAATACACTTAAAATCCTTAAATTTATTCAAAAATCGACAGAGTCTAATGATTTTATGATTTTATGTGGTACACAATGCTTAAAATCTGTCAAAATGTTTTAGTACGACAACTACAAAGCCACACCTTTTGAGCCACACCTTGGAGCATTACGACTACTGTAGTCAGGAGCCTTGTGGAGTTGGGGCCTGGCTCCACTGCACGTGTCAGTGTTTACACATCAAAGCGCCAAAAAATAGGAGGGATCCTATTTTCTGAAATCTACCCGTGCAGGACGTGCTGCTCCATATGCGCGCCTAGCACATGCAGTGGAGCCGCCCTCATTCACTTTCAATGCATTCTAAAAATTACACATCCAAAAGTTGCAGATTTACACTCGTGTAGGGCGAATACATGCGGAGTTGTGCCAGGCAATTTGTCAGACTGAAGCTGACTGCATCAGTGCACAAGGAGCGAGCTGTTTTTTTCAGCACTTATAGTTTATGCAGATTAGCCATGTGGTTTTAAGTTTTGTTTCTGTAAAACATAAACAAATGTGCACAAATCTGCATTAAACACATTATTACTCAATATATATTTGAGTCCTCCTCGTAGGAAATAAAAATCCAAACTTAAATTATTCACCCACATTCACATTCATAATCCACATTCACCTAGACAGAGAGGCAACGCCGGGTGAATTACACCACGATCTGCCAATGGATAATGGACGCCTGGACTAAAGGATCAGTCTCAAGTGTTGTACATTTGTTTCACTTAATGCGTCTTATAATTCAGTGCACCTTATGTATGAAAATAGATGAGAGAATTCAACATTATTGATATTATACCTTATTGTTCAAAAAATACAGTATTATAGTTAAAGTTTTGTTCATATATTTGAGCAACATTTGTCTTGCTCCAGTACAGATAATAGCCTGTGTCAAAAAACTGGAATATAATGAAAAAGTGTAATTTCCTTTTTGATTTTATGACTTTAAAGAGTAAACATAACGCAGATGAGAGAATAAAGTAACACGGCCCATTAAAGGTGCATTGTGTAACAATTTGAGGGTCCATCAAATACTTTTCTCCATGGAGATGTTATTACTCTGTCAGAAATGTCTCACACTATGGCATTAAACCTTTCTTTCTTCATGGAGAAGTCAGTCAGAATGTCTGTTCTTCTCAGTATTTTTGAGCTATGAAACCACCTGTAACTTCTTTTGAGATATGTAATGTTAAAACTTTTCTTTTTAAAATACATGTTTAATAATAGTTTTGCTTAAACATTTAATCCAGAACAAGCAGAATATAAAATAATAACAACATTTTAAATAAATAATGTCTTTATAGTAATCTGTAGCTGGCGTGCAGCTCTAATACATACAGAAGATGATATTTTAGTCAGGAACCTGTAGCACGACATTACGCAGCTCTGACTTGAACACACCACAGCACCAATGTTTTTGAGAAGGTGACTTTTAAAATGTATTCCCTTCCAGATTACAGATTACATACCCAAAAATGTAGTTTGTAACGGAATCCATTAAATTACTTAAAGTTAGTAACGTAATCTGAATACTTTGGATTTCTTGATATTGCCATGATTTTTAAAACTACACATCCTGAAAATTCATGTTTGTTTTCTTCAAATTGTCTGTTGAGCCCAAGTCTCCATGAAGAGACTTTTGTTTCCTGTAGAGAAGCAAAGATGAGGAAATCTTAACATGAGATGTTTTATGTGCTAAAAGACAATAAAAAGTCCAGTCTTTCCTTAAGCATATTACAGATATTATTGATAGAGAAATGACAATCCAACACCTACTGTTAGGTGTTATATAGTTTAGACCTGGTTTTACTCCTGGTTTAGTCCCGGTTAGTCCTGCTTTTAGTCCTGATTTAGTCCTAGTTTTAGTCCTGGTTTAGTCAGTCCTGATTTAGTCCTGGTTTAGCCCAAAATGTGAAAACAGGAAAATACCGCCATGTAATTCATTTATTTCAACAGAGTAACTGTAATCCAATTACCACTCATTGAAACAGTAACTGTAACTGAATACAGTTACTCATAATTTGTACTCTGATTACGTAATGCCGGTACATGTGTGGCGAGCGGGGTATGTGGGAGGGGTGTGTAAGAGAACCCCAAAATAATATAATTAACATAAAACCAACAACGCCACTGGGCCTAGCCCACAAACTAAAACTAAATTTACTAAACTAAAAAGGCTCACAGGTTCGTTAATTGACAGAGACAAGTGACTTACAAAACATGAAGTAATTTATTATTGCCATAATTCATTTGTTTCCTTTTGTTAGATTATCTTTAAGAGTAGACTATTCACTGTTCACATAACTGCCGATTAAAACAGTCACAAAAGCAGCTGTACGGTGATTTTGTCCTTAAAATATAAAACACAGTAAAACAAAGCAGCAGCTCGTTCACAGGGCCACCGCTCCACCAGATGACGTGCCGAAGACCACCCTGGACCACAAAAACACACGCTTCTACATCCACGAGGCTTGACGCCGAGCGGCCGGGGCATCTGACAGCAACACCGACCCAACCGTGGACAGCGGCGAACAGTGGCGCTTGTGGCAATCAACAGCAAATACAAACAGGAGCTTTACTCACGAGCCATAACTTCAATCGTTCACATCGGGACTCTAGGAGCGGTGGCACTACAATAATGCCACACATTAAATTATATAATTGCAATTGTAATTAGAGAACAGCGGTTGTTTACCTGCGCTGACAAGGCGGAGCCCTATCCCGAAGTCGCCAGAGAACGAGACGCTATGGGGAGTGCCCTTTTATAAATCCAGGCGCCACCTGGTGGCAGCAGGCAGGGCGGCACTGCTACACATGTAATCCGTTACTCCCCAACACTGCACATCACAGACTATCCACCGCCGTCCACCGCCACAGACAAGACTGGATTTTCTCTACCACCTAGAAGCGAAGGAGACGAGAATCAGCCACAAAAGAGGAAGAATGGAAGTGCGTGAGGCCAGAGTGGAACCTTCTACTGACTGAAGCTGACACAAATGACAATGCAAATGGAGCTCCTAAGTGGCAGAACCAGAGAATAAGAATAAGAAAGAGCCCACAAGATGACAAGATGTTACAAATAAACCCAGTTAGGTCAGGAAATCAAGTCTCCAAAACATCACAGAAAGCAATGGTAATATTTGCAGACGCGCTCGATAAATTCTTACACAACAGAGACGAATCCTGTTTACTCGGCCTATATTTAGTTTTATAAAGAGCAGAGTACAAATCCACTGACTTCAGTCATTTCATATCCTTATTGCTGATCTGCTCTTGCTGTTTAACAGGTGAGGACTCAAGTTTAACTCTACTAGTGTTATTGTTATTGTTATTATATGTGCTGAGGTCTAATACAGTATGTTGATGCACATTTTTATCCTGATTTTGACTTTTAAAATAACGTTAAAATCAAATAACTGCCAGTGATGGGAAGAATACTTTCAAAATGTATTAGTTACAGAAATACTTGCAATAACATGTATTTTGTAACATATTCAAATTCACATTAAGCTGCAATTTAAAGTCTACAAAGCAACATAGTATTAAAACTGGTTTATTCTTTGCTGCGCTCATCTGCGGACTATAAGGTGCACCGGATTATAAGGCGCATTAAGCGAAACAAACAGACGACACTTGAGACTGATCATTTAGTCCAGGCATTCACCACCCTGAGTTACCCGTCGATTTGAGCTTCCGAGGCAGAAGTGGAGTAACAAGTCACATTTTTAAAGTGCATTGGTTTTATTGTATGTTTGGACCAGCTGAGTTAGATTTGCGGCAGAATATCCATATTAGATGATTGAATAGTTTGGATTCAATATTTGATTTTATCGCTCTCATTTTCATTACATTGTATTTTATTTTATTTTGTTTCCATGTGAAGAAAACTTTGTAACTTTGTTAGAAAAGGTGCTGTATAAATAAAATATTCTTATATTATAAAAGGAAATTCACACTGTGGCCTATATTTATTAAATCTAAAGCTTTCAGTGTTTCCAGTCATTTCTTTCTCTTCTATAGTGGGAGTCTTATTTGATAGAATATAGGCCTGTCGAAAAGAGTGCCTCTAC